GCTTGAAGGATGTCATAATGTGATTCAAAGGAGACAGCTTTCCTGGCACTCCTTTAAATAACATTCTTAAATTGACATAGATCTCTGGCTGGAAAATCTAAAGCTTTATCTTGGTTTAAAAAAAAAACAGCAAGAGGTAAGAAAATATGCACTTAAGGATATGTGAACAAGATAATAGTTTCTAAAGCATATTGGAATGTTTGCAGATTGGTAGGATTTGTGTTTGTTTTCACATAGTTTTGCTTTCTAACTTTTCACCTGCTCCCATCCCAAAACAAGAAACACCACGTGTTTCCTTCTTCTACCTTCTATCCGAGGAAGAAGAATATTTGAATTTTTTTTTTTCTGTTTATTGATTGGTCATGCTTGTCAAGTCATAAATGCTAGACAGGGCTACCAAAATAGAGCTGAGTTACACAAGTCTTTGTTGAAATTAAGAGGTACAGAATAGAGTTAACTAATTACACAAATGGGCAGAATTTAGTACAAGTGGTATTGTTCTTAACTGGATTTTTTTTTTTAAGTCTCCATTCTGTAAAATGAAGATATAACTATCTATTAAAGACCACCCAAAGACATCAAAGCATTGAGGAAGTTGTATTTTTATTTCTAATCTAACCTTTAAACTGCTTTGACCCTAAAGTAGGCACAGTATATGTTTTTCCCAGTCTCTTCATTATAATTAAATGAGTTTTCAGTCCATCTACAGGAATTTCTAAAATAAAATCATAGTTGCAGTCAAATAAATATAATTTTACGTGGCTGTGAAATAGTAAAGCATACAGCTTGAATTGCAGGCTCTACATTTGAACATTCAAGATTCTAGATTTCATACATAACTTTATAACCATTCCACTTCACAGAAACCCTTCAGAAAGGAAAACTGTTGAAGACTCTTAAGTTTTTACAATGCTTTCCTTTCATGTGGGAGCCATATGTGTGCAGGATGCTATGGTGCCAGGTATGTGTGGTCCCAAGTTATGAGTGATACTATCCAAAATATTGATAGCATCTAAACCTGTTTTTACTAGAATGTGAAAACCTGTTAACATGTTACTAAAGCAGAGCCTAATTTGTTCAAGTTGTCTTCTATGTGGGTTGATATTTTTTTGTTCTTCCTCAATGTACTTCTTTGTCTTTTTCAGTCTGTATTGTTCTTTCACTTCCCAGTGTTGATATTTCTCTTGCCCTCCTCTATAAGAAATGAGTAAAACCTATAGATCAGAGAATGTAGATCTGTCTCAAGGATCTCAGATTCCACTTTGGGATAATAATACATACTATTTCCAAGGGGAGTTAAAGTGTCAACCATCCAAGAGACAAAACTAACTTTTTACATAATTTCACAAATAAACCGATACAGGAAAAATTTATTTGCAAGATTTCATTAACTATTTTAAGTTCAACAGCAAATGGCTTGGGAGAAAGAAAAACACTAATTATTTCTCTAAAGATCAAGTCCAAAATCTATTCATGATCCCAGGCCACCATCTGAAGACTGAGTAAAAAACATCAACTTTGTAAATACTTGAGTGCCATTGTTATGATGAAGTAATGACACATAAAGGAACATGTAGAAAGATTTTATTAAAGACAGGACAGGTCTTAATGAGTCTCATGACTCAGACAAACACAACTATCTCACCTTTTGGAGGGCCAAGTATTACTGGACCTGGTGGACAAAACCACTGATCTCAGCATTCCTTACCATTATATTCCATGTGAACTAATCAGTTACATGGAATTGGTGAGCACTTGGCTTTCATTAAGCAATCAGTCCTGAGTACACTCAGAATTATTTTCCATACTTCACGAATAAATAGACATCGAAAATATATGAACTATCCAATATATATGATTAAGGCAACACAGATGCTAAAGAAGGAAAATTGTGTTTCCTCTTTCATTTGCCAACACAAGAGAACATAATTAACAGCTGGGAATATGTAAACATGCCTAATTAGTAAACGTTTTCCTGCTTAATAAAATTTATTTGGGGGATAGTGAACTGCTATACGCTCAGTTACTTATGTCCCAACTTTTAGATATACTGTTCCCATTCTTTAATCAAAACTAGAAATTAAGCTACAATCAAAATGTCATTCATGCAACAACAGTTTATTGAACACCATCATCCATCAAATTACGTTCTCCACCAAATAATCTATGCAACATTTCATAAAGAAATAGAAAAGACAAATACATAAGGCTTATGAGTTTTAAATATTGTGTACAGATAACCTGAATAATAGTATAAAGTTTAAAATGAGACAGACCTTCCATTACTCAGTCCCTTCATTAAGAACCTAAGCATCTATGTAATTAAACTTTCCATGTCTTATTAATGCCTGATTTGTTTAATCTCCACCTTTTTTCTTACACTGACTCCCCAGCATCCACTTTTAAGATATTTTGCATTTTTAAGAAAATCTTATATCATCGGTGAAACAAACGAAATACCTGGAACTGAAAACCTCATTTGAAAAAGATTAACTTTTTTTTTCAGCTGCAAATTCCAACAATAAAGGTATTGCTAAAGGAGGGATTAATGTTAAAGTAATTCTGTGTCTACAAAAACTGACCTCAAAGGAATTAATTACACAAAACATATTAGGTACCAGTTCAAGTAAATCTTCAATTTAAAATGTCAATTGCAAAACATAAATCTCTTTGGTAAGTTTTAAGTCATGGTGTTAAAGTTGCAACCTGCAGTCTAAACCAATTACAAAGAAAACACTCAAATCATGGTTTTTTAAAAAATATCTTTAACATATGCTTTACTTTCTTTAACTTATCTATACTATGTAACAATTTTATGCAACATTTTCAGATTAGAGACTGGTTCCAGATATTTTAAAGGTATTACAAGTTTACTTCAAATCTAAGTGTAGTATCTGCCTGAGTAATAGCCATATTACCTCCCAAAAGCGTTCATTTAAGTAGGATCATTTATAAAGACCTTTTAAAGTCCTGTGAGGGGGCAAAGTTCCATCAAAGCCATCTGAGTTGTGTGTGTGTAAAATATAAATGTGTGTTTTTATATATAAAATGTGTTGTATACACACACATACATATATACTAGCACATTAACATATTAAAGTTAGAACAACGTAAAAGAGGCGTTTAATTTAACATTTGTTGACAGATGTTTGTCGACTTTGTGCAAAATGTCAGTGATGCATATGAGAAGGCAATGTTTGTAGCACACAGAAACTATTATTTGTTCCCAGTGCCTTTACTTGTCCACTGTGTAATCCTCCATAAATTACCTAATACCCACCCCCTAATCCCATACCCATCCCCCATCACTTTTCTTAATCTACAAAATGGGTAGTAATATTTGACTGCAAAATCATTTAAGAACTTCACATGGGAAAGTCTGTACTAAATCCACAAATATAGCAAGTGTATTTTGCCATTATGAATAATAAATTGTGTTTTCAGTCTGTTTTCTTTTTTTCACTAAATCTTATTAACTTGACATATTTCCCCTTAATAAAATGAGTCATTAACTTCCTTTTTAAAATTTCTGATATATGTGCATAAGCACTTTTCAATTTTGTGGTGAAATATATCAAGAAAGAAATGTTTTTAAAAATGCACAGTATACAGTATACATCATTTATGTTGTACTTATATAACTTACATAACATAACATTTGTGTCATGACTTATATGTCATTCTGTGAAATTTTAAAAATTTAATTACATCATGTATAGTAACATTTAAAGTTCAGAGTTTGTCATAGTCATCTTTTCTTTCTGAGGCTTTCATAACCACCCCAAATGTCCTTGCTGATCCACTGAAATAATAAAAAAGGAGGGATATCCTTTCTTTACTATAGAAGTTGTAAAAGAAAAAAGAGACCCTATACTAGAATGATATTTGCAAATAACGAAAGGTACTTTTGAAGGTATTTTTAAAAAGTGAGGCACCATCTCCAGGAAATAGATTGTAGCATATTAGAAAACCCAGGTAGTATTCATCTGAAAATTCTAAAGAATGTAAGGGTATCGGTAAGTTATTGGCTAACAAAAATGAGCCTGTATCATTAAAAGAGACCATAAAGGAAAAAGGCAGTTGATAGAAATTGAATCCATTTCGTGAAGTGTTGCTAATATTAGGTCTTTGTTGAACTTATTGGCACGAACTAAAATTAATCACACTAATAAGAACTATTAAACTTATAGATAATGAAATAAAGAGGGAATAATCACATTTCCCAAAATGGCAAATTATGTTTCTCCCATTTTGAAAAAATTATAATCAAAATTTTTCATGTTATGTGTATCTACATAATGATGCCTATAAATAAATATTTTAGATATTGCACACAAATGAATTAATTTTATACACTTAAAATAGATCATGTCATTTATACCTCAAATTTTTATATTTCAGTTCTTATACAAATGAAGACAAGTAAGTTCCTTTGGTTAGCATAGTTTAACATAATTATTAAAGGACCAGAATATATGGTTTAGCCTTACAGCATGCAAATACCAAAATATTGGTCATTAAAATCTGGAGATAAGAAACCCGATAATGATGAGTGGAAATCACTCATTGAACAAAAATGATAAAATTCAAATTTAAAAGTTAGAAGCTATACATAGCAAAGGAAACATGTAACCATCTGTGAGCATAAGCTATTTGGAAGTTAATTTTTTTAGTTATATAGACATTTTTGTTGTGATATAGTGGTGATAGAATAAATGAACAATATTTCTCTTCATTAAAATAAATGATCTATATCGTGGCTCTCTAGCATCTTATTTTCAAGGAAGTCAAATACTATAATTTGATCTCACTTGATCTCAAATAAATTTTGAGGACTTTTTTCTTTAGCCTTCTATGAAAATACAGCAAAGGTTCTTACAAAGCTGGAGTTTAAGAAAGGGAGAGATGTTCACATTATAGACTTTTTATGTTACAGTGAGATAAATACATTGTACATTAGAGGCATGGTATAAAAATACCAGGATTTTTAGGAATAGGGATTTTTCTTACATATGTTTGGCAATTGTTCAGAGTTAAATAGAATAAACTGTTTGTCCCCCGACAGACTGAAAATGAATGACCTGCATTATATGGATGAAGACTTTTCAAAGAATTAGAACACAGTAAATTCATTTATCTATGAAGTTTTACTGAACAGCACCTAACCTGTCTTTGATGATTCAGAAGGTACTTCACAAATTTTTGGTACCTTTGAATTAATATTTATGAACCTTCATTACCACTATAATTAAGACATACGAGGTATCAATTAATAGAGAACTCCAGTGAGAGAATGCCACGTCAACTAAGCTTTATCTCTGCACAGACATCCCATTCTTGTCTGCCCACGGTACCAATATTACTATTTGCAATTTTGACAGCTCCTTGCTTATAAAATCCCCAAATTCAAGAGGAGGTACTTTTTTGAATCGAAGTTTTTTCTGACCTTCTTTTTTCCTATTTTTGCTGGTAAGACCATGTGAAGTTCTCAGTGTTCATGGTCATAACTCCCTATTTGGTAATTGCCAAAGAAATTTATCAAGTTGGCCAAAACACAGATGGAGAACTAAGTGGATACCGATATGAAACAGAGAAAGAGTGATCACTCTTAGTCTCACCTTTGACACCATGTGGACACATGCCACTGATGTGATTTGACCCTCAACACTGGGACTCCCATAGGCTCAAGAGGTGGGAGTCAATATTGTTTTAAAGGGAAGATTCTAATCACACAATTCCTATCAGAGTTTTTAATCTTTTTTATGTATAGTCCTTTGGCCCTTATTCATGGCTTGTACCCTCTGTATTTTTTTTTAATCACCAAATCTTCTATTTATTAACTTTAATTTTAATTCCAGTATAGTTAACATACAGTTTATATTAGTTTCAGGTGTACAATATAGCAATTCAACAGTTCCATACATTACATTACTCAGTGCTCATCATGAGAACTATGCTCTTTAATCCACATCCCATATTTTTCCCATTTCCCCACTCCCACCCCTCTGGTAACATCAGTTTGTTCTCTATAGTTAAGAGTCTGTTTCATGGTTTGTCTCTTTTTTTTTTCCCCTTTGTTCATTTATTTTATTTCTTAAATTCCACATATGAGTGAAATCATATGGTATTTGAGCTTGTCCCCACTTCAGAAAAGGATCTCTTCTTTCTTTGGTCAATAGGCTTGCAAGCCCACATTTGTTCTTTTTTGACTGGTATTATCAGGCCAGTGCAAACCCTAGAAGCTTCATATATTTGCAAAGTGTATCAGATTATATTTCATATCATGATTCCCATAACCTCCAAACTTTACATTATTTGAATGGCACTCTCTTAGGATATCTGTCTAGTATTATCTGTTTGGGGTATTCACATCCCTCCTCTTTATGTCCCACGTGATCATTTCTGTGTTGCTGTTTTGTTGTTCTCATATCCTGCCCCTTTCTAAGGGTTCATGTTTCTCTTCCTCTTAAAGGGCACTGACCCCTCCCACTATCATTCAAAGTGAGGGAGATGAAAACTACAATGTTTTCCCTAATCTTCACACTCTTCTTCTTTATTTTTTATTAAAATTGTAACATAAAAATGTCACTCTGAAGAAAAGCCTTGGCTTCATCATTCCCAGCTCCCCTTCCCTGGGAAGAGAATACATTGCCTTTTAATCATGTTGGCCTTGCTTTTCCATAAGGCAATAAAAAAACAGTCTCAACAGAGGTTGCCAGTTATAACTTATGTATAAAAAATGGAATTAAAAACGTTTGATGAGGCAGAATCAGGTCCATAGGGACCCAGCCCCCTGTATTTCCCAAGTTCTTATTTTCTCCTTGCATTCCTCCAGCCTCTCTTCTTAATTTTGTCTTGCATGATTCTTTCTCCCAAACATACCCTTAGGATTTCACAGGGGCCTCCTTCCCTAATTTCCCCCCTTTTTTCCTTCATTCCTACCAGCAGGCTTCTGCATTCATTTTCGATTGACTCTGTACTCTCACTGTCTACAAATATTCATTATAGTTGGAAGTCGCAATCTACCTTTTCTGACGCATCAACTGCATATGAACAGAGTTCTGTGAGATTATTTCCTTTTTCTTATTGACTAGATATATGGACTGGCTTTCAATTCACTGCATAGTTTTCCAAATGGATTTATATTGCTGGTACAGAAACACGCCCACATCATCTATCTTACCATTCTTCTTTAATGATTTTTACCTGCCTTCAAATTGGCCGGTTTCCCCAATCACATCCCCAGCTCATGCATTTGGATGTTAAACCCTGTACCTTTATGGTTTTACACTAAATTATGCCCTATTTTGTGGAATGCTTTTTTCTGGGTATTTCCTAGAAATTCTACCTGTCCCCCTTCTGGTGACAATAGTAAGTACTTTTCTCCTTCCTCCTATTTATTACAGGTTGAGTGTTGTGTCAGCTATTAGTGCATACTACTCGCATTGTAAATTGCAGTGTAAACCCTGTAAATTGCATTCTTTTGCAGTGTAAACCCTGCCAGAAGCTCTAACAGGATGCAACTTGTTGACCTAAGAGGTTCAAATATCCCATATCCTTCTCTGTTTATTCTTAAGAAATATTTTCAATAGCCTGTTTCGCATAGATTCCATTAATGTTTTACTTTTCCCTGAATTTCTTGACTCTTTCCCACCTTTTTCCTGCTTTCTACCCTCACCTGGCTCCCCACCATCAGCCTCCATGTGCCTAACGTACGTTCGCACAGAGATCGTGTGTGTTTATCATGCTGTGGTAGGCAGCTTCCAAGATGGCTCCCAAAAATCCTGCCTTCCGGCATTCATGTTGTTGTGTCATCCCAACCCCAGAGTGTGGGCTGCACGTAATCAGCTGCCTCAGACAAATAGAATATAACAAAAATGATGGGATGCTACTTCTGCGTTGAGGTAACAGAAGTTCCTCTCTCTCTCTCTCTCTCTCCCTCGCTCTCTCTCTCTCTCTCTCTCTCTGGCTTTTCTTGCTTGCTCACTCTAAGAGACTCCACCTGCTATATTGTGAGATGTGCTATGTAGAGGCTCACGTAACAAGGAAACCTCATTTCCAACCAACAGCATGAAACTGGGTCCCTCTGTCCAATAGCTCACAAGAAACTGAACCCCACCAACAACCACATAAATGAACTTGGAAATGGCCCCTCATCCAAGCAAGCCTTCAAATGAGATCTCGTCACACCCCCATAGCCCTGGCTGACACCTTCATTGCAACCTTGTGAGACACCCGTAGCCAGAAGACCCAGCTAAGTTGCTCCCAGAATCCTGACCCACAGAAACTGTGAGATAATAACTGTTCGTTATTTATATCTCTTAGTGTAGGGGTAATTTGTTACACAAAAATAGATAACTTATACAGTAATCCCCCTTAGCCATGGTTTCGCTTTGAGTAGTTTCAGTTACCCCCGGTCAACAAAGGTCCAGAGGCAGAAAATCAATAGTCACCTAATGCTATATCACAATGACTATGCCATTCACCTCACTTTGTCTCATTAGACAGGTGTTTTATCATCTCATATCATGGCAAGAAGAGAAAGGGTAAGTCCAGTACAATAAATTATTTTGAGAAAGAGACCACGTTCACATGGCTTCTATTATAGTATATTGTTGCAATCATCCTATTTTTAGTTGTTGTTAATCTCATACTGTGCTTAATTTAACTTCTAAATTTAACTTCTAAGCATAGATAGGCATGTATATATAGGGAAAAAACATAGTATATTGTGTTTGGTAATATCTAAGTTTTCAGGCATCCACTGGGAGTCTTGGAATATATATATTCCCCATGGGTAATGGGGCAACTACTGTATACAGAGTATTATAAACATGGTTTACAATCAGACTCATTAACCTGTGTAAGTAGTGATAATGTTCTAATGAAGTAGTTAACTAGATCTTCAGGACCTAGCATAATGCCTGAACCATATTTGCTCAAAAAATATTTATTGAATCAAATGAGAACTTCCCACTTCTCTAAAACTTCTTTGATCGCCGCTGCTAATAAGTTGGTGTATATTTGAGTTTTGTCTTTGTCTCTTCAGGCTTTTATAACAGAATACCATAGACTGGGGAACTTATAAACAACAGAAATTCACTTCTCACAGTTCTGGAGGCTGGAAGTTCAAGATCAAGGCACCAGCAGATTTGGTGTCTGGTAAGGGTTTCCTTCCTGGTTCATAGACGGCTGCCTTCTCACTATGTCCTCACATGGGAAAAGGGGCTAGAGACCTCCCTAGGGCTTATGTTATAAGAACTAATCCCATCTGTGAGGGATCCACTGTTATGACTTAATCACCTCCAAGGATCCCACCTCCAAATACCATCACTTTGGGCATTAGTATTTAACAAATGAATTTGGGGGGAAACAAACATGCAGTCTATAGGAGGGTTTTTTGGTAACTGATTTAGGCAAAATTAAAGAAAAAATATTAAAATGGTGACAGGTGGCTCAGAGAACCAAGGAAGGCTGAACAAGGGTGTTCAGGGAAGGCACAAACACCAAGAAAAGCTAAAATCTGTCAAAGCTTAGTCAAGGTTCTGTCTGCCTCAGGGACATTGGCCAGGACATCATGTTGTGGGATAGTTGGGCACTGCTAGACTTTGGATTTCAGTGCTGCCACTATGCATGATCTCTAGCCATTGTGGCCTTTTACATCTTTCTCTGAAGACATTCGGAGTGGGGCATCCTTTGACTGAGCTGAGCTCATGTGCCCATACCCCCTGCCAGAGCTGAGAGGCAAGGATCATCTGCCCACCTTTTGGCGGGTGGAGGTGGGTTCCTACCTCCCTCTGAAGTCACCCAAGGTGGTATTTCTCCAAAAGAAAAGGGAACCAGATGCTGGGGGACCAAAAATGACCAATGGTCATGCCATCCTAATAAAGAGCTTTAGTGTTCTCTTTCAGGTAATTTTGTTTTTCTTTTCAAATCTGCTCACCAAATGGATTCCCTTTTTAGTACAAACCATCTAAAATAATAGTCTGTGCCTGGATATTAACAGCTACTCCTTTCTCACCACCCACTTACCATCTATTATAGTCCATTTTCTAGTCAGGTGTGTGAAGAACTAAAAGAGCAGGTTTATATGCTTTTTTCCCCCTCAGACATGAAAAGGCCTAGATTAATTAACACTTTTAGTCTAAAGAAATAAACTTACAAAGCATCCGGTGCTGGACCTGTCTCCCACTGTAAAGTCAATGCCTGGCATTTTCCTTTTCTGGAACGTGGGTTTTCCAAGAGCAATTCCATTTTCTTCCTCCTGTAAGGTCTCACAATGGTACGTCTACACTTGTGGGTCTAATTATTTTGAAAACTAATCTTCTTCTCCTCCTGCCTATATTTTGTAATTATTTATGGTCGGTGCCAACAAAAATCCACCCTCTAATTCTAATCCCCATAATCTAGATTCTTTTCTTTATATCATCACTTGCATTTTTCTTGGGCCTTATTTCTTTCTTCTTTCCACATTTCTCCAACCTTGTGGTGGAGATAATGACCCCCTTTTGCTTGTTTTCCTGGAGTTTTCTTGAGCTCCTCCCTCTAGCCCCGTCTCTGTTTGTGTTCTGAACATCTTTCTCTCTTAAGTTGCTGGTTGTCTGTGTTTGCCGTCTTTCTGTCTTCACATTCTCTTTCTTGTAGCCTTCTTTATCTTTCTACCCAACTACTTTAAAGCTCTTTCTCTGAGTCTTCTATTGAACCTCATATTCACACCTCCATCTTGACTGAAGACTGTTTCTCCATTTCATCTTTTTTCTCCCTATTTTTCTTTATATCAACTATAATTCTTAACCATGCATCACTAATTCAACACACGTTTATTACATATTTATTCTCTGGTTAGAACTGCATGAGGTGCTAAAGAGAACAAAAAGAATAAACTAGAATTCTGCCCTCAGAGGTTCAAGATCCAGCAAAGAAAGAAAACTTGTTTAAAAAAAAAAAAAAAACAACTGTAAGTAAACATGATAAGCACAATCTTAAGAGGATAACCAAAATACTTGAGAGCACAACAGTTGGAGAGATGGATCCTGCCTGAGAGGTCTCTTCACAGAACAACTGGCATTCAGCCCTGACTCTTGAAGGATGAGTGGGGTTTTGCCAGACAGAAATGGGGAAATGTATTTCAGGCACACTGCTAAGTAAAGTCATGGGTGTTGTGGGTTGTTCACAAAGAGATGAGTGGGGACTGAAATCCAGGCCATGCTCTGTATGTTACTACCGATACCCCAGCATAGGGTTGTATCGTCTCAGAAGAAGGTGAACAAAGATATCACATAGGCTGGTGGTATGTAAGTGCATAGTTTGTAAGAGGCAAATACCACACAGCCTTTCATTTCTGCTCTGTTGCCCCTTTCTTCTGTCCTTGAAACCCTCAATCATGAGCTTTTCCAAAGTTAAATTCTTCTTAGATCAGTATAGACGGTGAATATATGGCCAACCTCATAACCTGCAGTGTTTCCAGTTAAATAGGTTATTCCAATTTTTTCTTTCTTGCATTTATATTGTTTCTCCATACATGTAATGGTGTAGTATCTCTTTAGCTACACAAATATTTCATCTCCAGCTACTGTTTCCAAATAAATGTTTATTGCCTTTGATTTAATTAAAGCTATTAGCACAACGTTCTGTCACAAAAATTTCTTGTTTTCATCTTTTCTTGCTTTCTGTATTATTTTTCCAAAAGGAACTTTCTGGAATTTCAAGAAACCATCTGCATTTTATACCTGAGAGAGATCTAAGAGGCATGAGAACTAACCTTAAGCCTCTTATTTACTGATCCAGAAACCACATCTCAGATGCCGAGGGATTTGTTCCAAGTCACATAGTTAACAGAAGAATCATCTTCAATTATATTTTTTAAAGATGTATACAACATAGCTTTTTTTATTTTTATTTTTTTAGAGAGAGCAAACCCGAGTGTGGGAGAGGCAGAGGGAGAGAGAGAAAGAGAGAATCCTAAGCAGACACCATGCTCAGCAAGGAGCCTGGAGCTCGATCCCCCAACCCTGGGATCATGACTTGAGCCGAAATCAAGCGTCAGATGCTCAAGTGACTGGGCCACCAAAGTGCCCTATATACAACACAGTCTTAGCAGAGACCACTGTCAGTGTTCCCGTATTGTTGTAGAATCATCTGCTCTTCCTCATATCAGAAACTTATGTGGGGACCCATTTTTCCCTTGCTAACCTTTTTTTTTACACACTTACGACTTTGCTTCTCTCTTTTTGTGCTGCTTTATGATTTGCCCCTGGTTGTTTTGCCCATGTCATGTTTAGAGCTTTCTTGAGCTCCTCCAGAATGGTCTCAGTCCTCTGCCTGGGCTGAGTGCCCCATGTACCATCATTTCTCCACTTGGCATCTGACCACCTGTTGGTACTCCGCCATCGCCTATAGAGGGCATAGAAAAAGGATCTCCCATAAGACAGAACTCTAAGCCCCACATCAGCTTTAGCCCTGCTATTCTTTCTTAGATAGAATTTGTGTTCATCTTTTTTGATAGGTCCACACAAAGTTTTAGTTTTTAGAAATGATTTAAGGATAACATATAAATATGGCACTAACAAATGCACCATTTAAAATATATGCATAGATTCCTTTATCATAACATTTTTATATTTAGCCCCTTATCTCTCCAGTCCTGAAACTTCACCTCTGTAAGATCTGCTTCAAGTAGCCAGAACAGTCTTTTAAAAATACAAATCGGTGGGGCGCCTGGGTGGCGCAGTCGGTTAAGCATCCGACTTCAGCCAGGTCACGATCTCGCGGTCCGTGAGTTCGAGCCCCGCGTCGGGCTCTGGGCTGATGGCTCAGAGACTGGAGCCTGATTCCGATTCTGTGCCTCCCTCTCTCTCTGCCCCTCCCCCGTTCATGCTCTGTCTCTCTCTGTCCCAAAAATAAACGTTGAAAAAAAAAATTAAAAAAAAAATACAAATACAAATCGGGTCATGCCACTCCTTGTTTAAAATTCTCCAGTGCTTTTCCAGTGCAATTAGACCAAAATCTAGGCCCCTTACCATAGTATATATGGCCCTGCAGGATATGGCCCCTGCACCTCTCTGATTTGCTGTCTTCCCATTCACCTCTCCTGCCTCACTGAGCCCACACTACACTGACCTTTCCATTTCGCAAACATGCCAAACTCCTTCTCACCTCAGGGCCTTTGCACTTACTGTGCTCTCTGCCTGAGAGGATCAGCCCCCAGAGCTTTGCCTGGCTGCTGCTTTCCAGCATTCAGCATCCTCTTGCAATTACTCTGCACTCCATCCCATCTATTCTGTCTCCTTCAGTCTACTCACCACTCTCTGAAATTACCTTGTTCACGTGTTTGTTTATTATTGTTGGTCTCGTCCCTCTAGAATAGCTCTGCTCAGTGGAACTTTCTGCAATAATGGAAATGTTTTCTATGCTTCACAATATGGTAGCCAATAGCTACATGTGGCTATGAGCACTTGAAACGTGGCTGATGAGACACAAGTATGTTTTGTGTGGCTCCCACCAAGAAGTCAACAAAACACTAGAAAATCTCAGCACATTCTTGTATAAAGCCATTGGGCATCTACTGCTGAAATATTGCTGTAATTCTGGTTGCTTCACTTTAATAAAAACCTAACAGAGCAGGGACAGGTCAAGGGAAAGGCAAATAAAATAAAATGATGATGCAGGGATTTCTGCAGGACAGTTAGCCCAAACAGTGGCTTGGTATGAATTGGACAGAGAGGTTCTCTTTGGTGGACATAGCCCCTTGCCCCAGCCCCTTCCTTGGGGAGTAGAGCGCTGGCTGGATTTGAGCCAGCACTCACCTTCTGAGCAACCTTTGTGCAGGGCCAGTCTGCATGGCCATAAGCATAGGCCCCGTGTTTCTGCAAAGGGTTAAAATTATTTATATTCTTCAGCAACCTGAAGTGGTGAGCAACCTCGGCACAGTAGAAATAGGGGCACACTTTGAAATGGAGTCTGTAGTGTTACAACCAATAAAAAAAAGAAAGGAAGAAAGAAGCAATCATTACCTGTTACAAATAAGCTTCTGAAATTTATACTCCTAGATACTCCTAGATTATAGACTACAACATATATCTTTCAAA